CTTAATGTTTGATTTTGGGAAGGTTCAACCTCTGCCTCTATCCCTCAACATATGGGTGACCTATTTGCTTGTAAAAATATAAAGCCTTTTCATTAATTAATAAAAAAAGGGGGATATGTAGGAAGCCGGTTCCTGCATTATCCATTACAATTATAGGTGCCTGAAGACACCAAGATGTAAATTACTTCAACAGGCGCTGGGTAATCTCCATTCCTTTGATCTCTGCCTATCCCGTGGCTCATTTGGCCTGAGGAGCTGAAGCCATTCATAGGGTAACACGTCCCAGGCGGCTGGCCAGCCTTTATAAGGGATGGTTTTCTTGGTTCAATGTCTCCGCTCTGGGAAGCTTATGCTCTTTCACTCTCAAAATGCATTAAAGCTTGTCTGCAGAAGGATCCGAGTGTCCTGCGTGTATTTCTTGCTGGCGAGGAAATACAGAGCGCGCAGGACAAGGATGCACATCTATATAAAACTTACAGAATTTATGAGTTTCATTACTTTGCATAACACTTGTATCTTCATCTTCATTGCTCAAATTTGCCAATAAATCATATAGTGAGTTCTGATGACATTCGATAACTCATTTAGTAACAAATGTTGACCAACATCCTAGCAAAGTTGAAGCACCATCCATGCAAACACCAGAAATCTTTTTCCAAAAGATCTTCTGCTCTTTTTGAAATGAATCATATGTATCAAATACATCCAATGCAGTGGTGGTTACTTTAAGGGGTTTGCAAAACAGAACTCATCCTCAAAGTTACATCATTACTAAACCTTACAAAAAAAACAGTGACTTTGAATATTGAAAATGTCTGCAGTCATCAAGTTGGATACTATTAGAAGTGCCAAAGAATTAACCTGGATTACCTGATCAAAATAACAGCAGACATATCATCCATTCTTCTACAGACAGTACCATCAGATAATGAAATTGTACTCAATTGCTGGCAACAGTAAATCTTCAGAAAGGATGTGATATTGCATAGCACTGCTGATGCCTAATGTTACCAAGTGAGTGCTTGATTTGGCAGCAAATATATGAAAATTGGAATGATACACAAAGGATTAGCAGGGCACCTGTGCAAGGATGACACACAAATTGGTGAAGCATTCCATATTTTTACATATAAAGGCAGACCTATCAGAAAGACACCCGACTTCTCAATGGAAACTTTGAAAGTCAGAAGGTCCTGGATAGATATCCTAAAACACTAGGGGAGCTTGGACGCCAACCCAGACTACTGTAGCCAGCAAAACTTTCAATCACTATAGATGGAGAAAACAAGATATTCCATGAAAAAAAAAAACAGATCTAAACAACACATATTCACAAATGCAGAACTACAGAAAGTTCTGGAAGGAAACATCCAAGCCTATGGAGATAACGACAATCACAAAAACATAGGCAATAGATAATCCAATTTTACCAAACATGAAAAGAAACAGGAGGGCAAAATACACTCACAATGACACATCCAACAAAAAATTCAAATCAAACAAGAACCAACAATCAATGGACATTAATACCCCTCAATATCAATAGTCTTAACCTGCCCACAAAAAGATACAGGCTAACAGAATGGATATGAAGTCAGAATGCATCTTTCTGCTGTATACAAGAAACACACCTCAAATTCGAAGACAGGTGTTACCTCAGAGTATAGGGTTGGGAAAAGATTTTCCAATCAAATGGGCCCCAGAAACAAGCTGGTATAGCAATCCTAATATCTAAAAGTTAGACTTCAAACTAAAATCAATCAAAAGAGATGAAGAAGGGCATTTCATACTCATCACAGGAAAAGTCCATCAAGATTAAGTCTCAATCCTGAACATCTATGCCCCAAATACGAAGGCATACGCATTTGTGAAAGAAACATTACTAAAGCTCAAACCACATATAAAACCACACACAATTATAGTAGGAGACTTCAACACCCCAATTTCACCACTAGACAGGACCATCAGACAGAAACATAACAAAGAAACAAAGGATCTAACAGAACTCATGACCCAACTGGTTTTAATAGATATCAATAGAACATTCCATCCAAACATGAAAGAATATACCTTCTTCTCATCACCACATGGAACCTTCTCTAAAATTGACCACATAGTTGGCAACAAAGCAAACATCCACAGATACAAAAGAATTGAAATAACTCCCTGTATCCTATCAGATCAGCATGCTTTAAATTTAGAATTCAACAGCAATACAAATTGCAGAAATCCTACAAACTCGTGGAAATTGAAAAACACCCAATTGCACCATTCCTGGGTTGAGAAAGAAATAAAAAAAGAAGTTAAAGAATTCCTAGGATTTAATGAGAATGTAGACACAACACACCCAAACTTATGGGACACTCTGAAGGCAGTGCTAAGAGGAAAATTCATAACACTAACTGTACATGAAGAAACTGGAGAATAATCACACTAGAGAATAGACAGAACAACTGAAAGCTTTAGAGCAAAAAGAAGCAAACTCACCACAGAGGTGTAGATGCCAGGAAATAATCAAACACAGGCCTGAAATCAATAAAGTAGAAACTAGGAAAACATTACAAAGAATCAATGAAACAATAGTTGGTTATTTGAGAAGATCAACAAGATAGACAACCCTCTAGCCAAACTAACCAAAAGGCAGAGAGAGAGCATGCTAATTAACAAAATCAGAAACAAAAAGAGGATATAAAAACAGACACTGAGGAAATCCACAGAATTATCAGGTCATACTTTGAAAACCTGTACTCCACAAGATTCGAAAATCTAAAGGAAATGGACAATTTTCTGGATAGACATCAATTACCAAAATTAAACCAAGAAAAGATAAGCAGTTTAAATCGACCTATAACCACTAATGAAATAGAAGCAGTCATCAAAAGCCTCCCAACCAAAAAAAGCCCAGGGCCAGATGGCTTCACTGCAGAATTCTATCAGAAATTCAAACAAGAGCTAGTAAAAGTACTCCTCTACTCCTCAAATTGTTCCACACAATAGAAGCTGAAGGGATATTGCCAAACTATTTTTATGAGGGTACAATCATGTTGACAAACAAGCCACAAAGATACAACTAAAAAAGAGAACTACAGACCAATATCCCGAATGAACATCGATGCAAATATACTCAACAAAATATTGGTGAATCGAATCCAAGAACAAATCAGAAAATTCAGTATGGAAATCAGTATGGCCATTGGTCAGAAAAATGGGAATTGGTCTACCTTAAGATCCAGCAATTCCTCTCTTGGGTATATACACAAATAATGCATGTCCATTCAACAAGGATATATGTTCAACCATGTTCATAGCAGCATTGTTTGTAATAACCAGACCTGGAAGCAACCTAGATGCACCTCAAATGAAGACTGGATAAAGAAAATGTGGTACATTTATACAATGGAGTCCTATTCAGCGGAAAAAAAGAAAGGGAATCTTGAAATTCGCAGGCAAATGGATGGAACTAGAAGAAACCATCCTCAGTGAGGTAACCCAGTCAGAAAAAGACAACCGTGGTATGTGCTCACTCATTTATGAATTTTAGACATAGAGCAAAGGGTTATCAGCCTACAATCCTCTTCACCAAAGAAACTAGGATACAAGGACTCTAAGAGAAAAATTCATGGACCCCAGGAATGGGAAGGGGAAGGAACTCCTGAGCTAATTGGGAGCATGAGGGTAGGGGAGAGAGAGTTGCAAGAATGAGAGGATGAGAATAGGAGAGGAATAAATGGAGGAGCAGAAATATTGAGTTGTGGAAAGAATAGAGGAGAGCAGGATGAGAGATAACATATTAGAGGGAGCCATTATAGGTCCAAGGAGAGATCTGGGATTAGGGAGATTTCCAGAGACCTACAAGGATGACATGAACTGACAATCTAGACAATGGTGGAGAGGATAACCTAAATGCCCTTCCCCTATAATGAGACTGATGACTACTTTTTATGCCATCCCAGAGCCCCCATCCAGTGGCTAATGGAAGCAGAGGCAGACACCCACAGATATACACTGAACTGAACTCTGGAACCTAGTTGCAGAGAGGGAGGAATGAAGATCAATGGGGTAGGTACCAAGTTGGGGAAAACCCACAGAAAAACCTGGGCTGAACAAGGAGGAGCACATCGACCCCAGAATGCTGTCTGGGTGGCCAATACAGGACTGATCCAGACCCTTGAACATGGATGTCAATTAGGAGGCCTCTGCACTCTAGGGGGCCCCTGGTAGTAG